TTATATAATAAATAAATAATATATATATATATATATATATATATATATATATATATATATATTCACTTAATACGTTTCTTAATTTTTGTCACATATAATTTCACTGAAGTACTAGGGATTTTATATGCTGGACATACTGACTAGCTTTATTTTCTCAATAGTTGCCAAAATTCTCATATTACAATATTCTATGTTTACAAGTACTGTACAAAATTCCACTTTACACAAAGTATTACACATGAAAAATGTGAAATATTCGTACAAATATTTCAATAACTTTCATTTTTGTCATATTTTCATAGTCAAGTCTTTGTACTTTGTATTCAAATGTAGATTATTGATAATTGACGTATAAATTAAAAAGAACATTTCATGATTGACTATAGATATTAAATAATTAATAACGTCAAATTAGTTGATATTCGATGCCTCTCGGCAGTAAACCTGAATGTGTCAAGTGTGGGACTCGAGAGACCCCGCTTTGGCATTCAACGGAAGCCGGTAACCTTTGCAATGATTGCCTAGAAGAAGAAAGAACTTCCGAAGCAAATTCAAATGTAAAAAATGAAGATGAAGATAAAGGAGGTTCATTAAAACCTACTAGAAGAAGTACGAGGATTACGAGATATTGTAATTCTAAATCAATTCCACATAAAATTATACCGAAGGGTAAAGGAAGAAGAAATTTATTCAAAAAAACTGTATGTTTTTAAATTTGTTACAACAATTTCAAAGGAAAGAACATTTTATACTATTTCCTTTTTATTTTTCAATTTTTAGCCAGTTAAAGCACCAACAGCTACAGCAACCCCTGTTACAAGTAATTATGTATTTTATAGAGGCACTTATTTTCAAGTAGGTGATATAGTTTCAATGCAAGATATTGATGGAGGAATTTATTATGCACAAATTCGTGGTTTACTCACAGACCAATATTGTGAAAAAAGTGCTGCTGTTACTTGGCTTTTACCTACTAGTGCAAGGTAAATTATTATAGATTATTAAAACATACGATTAATTGTTAATATTAAAATACCTATAAATAGTAAAGTTATTATATTTTATTATTTTATATATAGTCCACCACCTGATGAAGGATTTAGTCCTGAAACATATATTATAGGACCAGAAGAAGATCTCCCACGTAAATTGGAATGTATGGAATTTGTAATGCATGCTCCATCAGATTATTACAAACTAAAAAATACATCATATCCACCACCACTTACAGAAAGGGGTACTGGATATATATGGACTACACTTAGAAATGAAATTGTTACATCTAAAAAGTAAAAATAAATTTTTGTTTTTAATTTATTATGGAATCTTTTATATTAATATGTATATTAATTAATTGCTTATATTGAATATAAAAAATTTGGTGTTGAAATATAAAACAATAATTAATGTAAATATGTATAATTAATAATTTTTAAGAAATGAATGTTGTCATGAATTACTGTAATATTTATTATATCATTTTTGTTTCATACAATATAATTTTATTATTAAATGGAAGTAAATTACTATTAAATACAAATAAATTATCACTAAGTATACTGTTTTAAAAAATAATAATAGAAATGCAATTTCTTTAATAAAACTATATAAAAATAATAATGTAACTTTTGTAATTAATAAAATATATTTCTAGATTTATGAATTTTTTACCTTTTTTTTCTTATATATTGAACATAATACTTCCAATAATCCAAATTCTTAATTTTAAGGTCAGATATAAGTAATTTTCTCAAATTATATAGTACAAATCCTCTTCTTTGAAAATCTTCATTGATTAATTTTGTTGAGATGAAATACATGAAGAATTTGTGGATAATATTGATGTATTCTCGTTTGCTTGAATGAAAGGGAAAAAAAACCCTTGTAGTATCATTTGCATTTGGAATTATAGTTGAAACTAGTCAGCTTGGAGCCAACGAAGTAACGGCTGGTCAGAATTTAAGATCTTTTATAGCTTGTGGTAAATCAGGCAACTTCATATCCTTTATCTGTTGTGGTATGTTCATATTCTTGACAGCAGAAACAGCACGCGCCGGCGCTGCTGTGATTCCTGCCTGCACATATCATATGGATGGAAAAAATGGAAAATGGAAAATATAAAGGGCATTTGAATTTAAATTGATTAATAAGAGTAAATACAAATAAATAACTACGCAATACATATTTTATTCTTAGAGCATAGCGACGTATACATTTGCATTAAGGCACTGTTATCGAGCAAACATTTACAAACGACTTAGCACCATGCGTGTTATGAATATTTATTTTGTAAAGCTTTACGTTTCGAAAAATTTGTTTCGAAATTCTTAAGTAAAAAAAAAAAAGAAAATCAGATAAATTACATAAAGGAATGAATGTATATAAAATGATCTGATTTTTTTTACTGCCGATTTACTTAGGGAGGGGGCCCCAGAAGGACAAACGGACGAGGTGAGCAAGATCGTCCTGATTTGTAAGTTCCCTAAAATTCATGTTAGGTCAATCAGTCCTACCACCATATGAAATAGCTCTACAAAACATTCCAATGCATGCACAGCTAATGAAAAAACTGCAATAGTCTGTTAACTCCTTCAAGCCCAGAAAACTTCTTAATATTTAATGCCTTTTTTTATGTTCGTTTTACTACTTCAAAATTTAAAGAAAATAAAGATAAAATAGACTCAAAATTTAAGGGATGTTTACATTAAATTAGTCATTAAAACTTGATTATAGTAATATGATTATAGTAATTTAACCACAGTGCATTGCTATATTATGTACAAAATTTGTTATCTTTAATATCTATAAATTATATAAATAAAGCTTAAACATATAACACATATATCAATATTTCTTCTAAATGCAAATTATAAAATATCACTTACCTCCTGTTTTTCCAATTTATTTTGATCTTCAATTCTTGTAAGTATTTCAGTCATATTAGTTTCCAAAACCATTCCACCCATCACTAATTCATTAAGTATATAATGAACTTTATCTACATGAAAGATAAGATCAAGTTCACATACATTTTCAAAACATTTATCCAATGTTTCAACAAAAACTTGTATTAAATCCAAAATTCCCAATTCTGATTCTGAACTATCAACACAAAATACAAAATATAACGTAGCATAATGTCGATAGATCAATTTATAATCAGATCCACCAATTAAACTTCCACCTTCTAAAAAATTACAAACATTATCATCTCTCTTTGAAACTAATTGAAATGTTTCCTTTATTATTTGTTGCTGCATATCTTCATTCTAAAGAAAAAAAAATTTATTCAATTATATATTAGATTAAATAGTAATAAAATCTAATCATCATTATACTTACAAAATATTGATAAAATTTAGAAAGTCTAGGCTTTCCATGATTATTAAATACTAATATAGCCTTAATCATGATTGATAATTAATTAATAAATTAAATACTAATTTTATAATAAAAAGAAAAACAAATGTTCATTCACAAAGATTAGTCAAAAAAAAAATTTTCTTTTTAACATCATATTATCAAAGAAATTCATAGCAATAATTATATTTAAGATTAACATTTAATTATAAAGTTAAAACAAATAAATATTTCATTTTACAGCTATCTATATTTATACATTTTCTTTTTTTTATTTTTTCTAACCTTTTTATTAAACAATGTGATATTATACTAATAATTAACATCAATAATAATATTATATATAAAATTAATTAAGAAAACAACTTAAAAATTATAATAATTAAATCCAATATATAACAAATGAATTATTTATAATAATTTCCAATGAAAATTTCAAGTTTTAGAAAATCAACAAATTCACGAAACATGGATATTAAAACACTACAACCATCTAACGTGAATAAATAGAACTAATCGCCAAGTAGTAAAATTAAAAAATCTAATTTTCAAACTAAATTTTTTGACTGTTTAAATTTAAACTTAAATTTAAAGAAATAATTTGAAACCAATTTTGTCAAAATATTCTTTTTTATACGTGCTTAATTAAAATTATACAAAATTTAAATTTATATTATTATTTATAATTATTATCAATGTTACACATAGTTTTATTTTATACTAAAATGACAATTTTAATAAATTTTAATTTTGATAATAAAAGAAGGACTTTAATATTCTCTGAAATATGTGATAAAAAAATGCATCGAGTGACAGGTCTATTTTATATTTTATATGTGCTATTACAAATGAAATACTTTATTTGTTATCTAATAAACAATGAAATCCAAGTAATTAACACTAGATGGAACTACATTCATGTAATATCTGATAAACCATTTTGATTTCTGAATTCTCGAAAGCACAAAAATCTGAATTTTTCTATTTTTATATTATTTTTTTTAACATGTCATTAGATTTCTGCGTTATGTTTCGATAAATCGTAAGTGCAATCTTACGAAAAAAGTAAATGGAGTATTATCAAATGCAGCGTAACATAATCATTGTATTTCAAAGGTAAGGTTGTTTACAATATATTTAACTTACAATCTACTTATTTAACTTTAACTTTAATTTTTATTCTTGTATCAAAATTTATAAAATAAATTTCAAATAAAATTCAAAAAAATAATAAATTTTGTATTATTCATTTTAATAAATTTTAATTTTGATTATAATATATCATTTATTATATTAATATTTCTTGTCAAATTTATGTTTATTTGATATAATATAATTGAACTGTCATTTCTTATAAATAATATATTAATAAATTTAATTATTGATAATTTTATTGAAACTCTAAAAATCTTGATCTTTGTATTTCAGAATTCTTTTTTGTATTCGAAATTATAATATTTGATTTATTATATCCATTCATTTCTAGAATAAATTATTTTATTATTTATTTATTTATTTCATTTGATCATATTATCATAAATAATCATAAAATATATGTATTAAGAAAATAATTAATATATTTTTATTAAATAATACATTTTTAATAAAATTTCTAATAAAAAAAATTGTTTATCATTATAGTTAGAAAATGAAAAAAATAATCTTATTAAAAAATGAATTATCTGTTCTTAGATGGACAAATTGCAATTATTGCCATTGGAATTGCCATCAACCACCAATATAAATAATGGAACAGTGAAAGGAAAAATATCATTTGTTCGAAGATTAGCAATGGGATTTGTGATTCTGGCTACATTAGGTTTACTGTATGTACCAGCATATCATTCTGCCCAAGGTCCACTTTTAGGCTTAGGTGAGACTCCATCTCCTGCAAAGCATATTGGTGTTTCACATTTGGTAGCTTCAGTAGGTATGCATTCACTAACATTGCTAGAAACTTTTATTATATTATAAACTAACAAAACTAATGATATATACAAGCTTGCTTTTACTATTCTTCTAATTTAATCAAATTCAAATTTTAATTTTTTGGATTATATTAATATAAATTTTTAAAAAATATAAGAATTACATAAGTAGATATAGTTAATATAGAATAACATATTTACCATATTAAATTTTTAATAACTGAAGGAAAAAACAAATATTTCTATTATAATAATAGATATAGAATGGATATTTATTTAATTATATATTTATAGAAATTTATATTAAAATTAATAAAAAAGAAAAATAAATTTAAATAGTAAAAAAAGTATTAGCTATATAATTCAATTTTCCTTTTTCTATTTTATTTTAGAATGCTTAAGTGATGCTAAAGTAAAATAATTATTTAATTTTATTATATAATGGCATGTATAAAATCAGATGTTAAAGGACAAAATTTTATAAATTCAATTTTCTCTAAAAATTTAAAATAAAATACTTTTTAAATAAATAATTTACAGCACAGTTGCCAGGTTGGACATATAATACTTCAAGAGATCTTTCTGTATATATTCATCCAGAAAATACAACTTCAGTTTTAAACCCTATTGGTATATGTTCTCCATCACCATATCTTTTTATAATTATTTGTTCAGCTGTTACAAATATCAAAGCACGAACAGCTATAAGAAATACATGGGCTAATAAAAATAATTTAGATAATGCATATAACTCATCTGTGAAAATAGCATTTCTTCTGGGTCAAAGTGACAATGATACACTTAATGTATGTATTTATTTATTAAAAAAATATTAATAATAAATATTAATAAAAATATCAATAAATATTATCTGAATAAAATAAATATGAATTTATATTGCAGAATATAATAGCTGAAGAAAGTCATCAATATAATGATATTATTCAAGAAAAATTTTATGACACATATAACAATCTTACATTGAAATCTGTAATGATGTTAAAATGGATAACATCAAATTGTGGTCAAACAAAATATCTGATGAAAACAGATGATGATATGTTTGTGAATATACCTACTTTGATGAAAACCTTACAATCAAGATCACAAACTACTGATATATTATTAGGTTCTCTCATTTGTAATGCCAAACCTATTTTAGATCCAAATAATAAATGGTAAATAATATATATTATATTATAATATAAAATAAGTCTATATATAATCTAAATATATGTGTTAATTAGGTACACACCAAAATATATGTATTCAGAGAGAATATACCCTAATTATTTATCTGGTACAGGATATGTAATGAGTTTAGATGTGGCATTTAAATTATATCATGCAGCATTAATAACACCATTACTTCATTTGGAAGATGTTTACATTACTGGTCTTTGTGCAAAATATGCAAAAGTGCGACCTGTAAATCATCCTGGATTTAGTTATGTTCCACGTAAACTGGATCCTTGTGTATTAAGAAATGCTATTACAGCACACAAAGTGAATGTATCTAGTATGTATGTAATATGGAACAAATTGAATGATACAAATCTTTCTTGTAGCAATCACACTCATATTGATAAAAAATCAGTTACATTAAGTAGAAATAGTAGAAATATTTGATATTATATAATAAAGAGAACTATTAATAAATGTTTAAATTAATTAAAGTTTTTTAAACATTAAATATATTATTTATTATTGATTTAATTACTTGTTATATCAGAATAATATTAATAAGTAAATTAATGAATATTCTCTTATGAAAATGATAAAACAAACTCATATTGAATTTATTCATGAGAATTTTTAAAGTATGACAAGAAAGATTTGTAGTTAATATTTGAATAAAGTTCTGCAGATTATTTTTCCATTTAAAAAACAATAGTTTTAAAGGAATCTTTCAATTAGACTTATTTTATATGAATTTATTTTCTTATTTATTTATAAAAGTTTTCACAACGAAATATAAAATATCTGTTTAATTTTTAATTTAACATTTAAATTACAAAACATTTATTTTATTTATTTTATTATCAAATATCATATTAATCGCTTCCATTTGTTTAAAAAATATTTAACAAATTTAAAAAAAAATGTTATTTAGAAATTTGATAAAAAAAGATTAACATTGAGTAGTGATAATAATTTAAATACATCAAATACGTTTATATGATAAATTAATTACGTATTTTTGACATCTTTATGCTTCCTTTAAAATTTACATTAACTTTAATATATATAATCAATACCTAATTCTAATTAAAAATTTATTGCATTCTATATTGATATTATGAAACTATTTGTGATTAATTGTATATTTATATTTTATGTCAAAATGTAGCACTTTATAAAAATTTTCAAATATTTAAAAAATTTTTATAAATATTCTAACATTTTAACATTCTATGTTAATGTAAAATATTTTATAAAAATAATTATTATGATAAATCTCATAAAAATAATTCAGATCTTTAAATAATGATATTTATCTTATTAAATATACTATAATTAATAAAATATAACGAATCATAAAAAGAATATATAATATATAAGTGTATTAAATTACACTTATTGCCTAAATGAAAACAAATTTTTTTGAAATGGTTTCTTGATATTTCTAAAAAAATTATAAAAATATATATATATTTTTTACTATTTGCATTTATATATTACAAGTTGTTCTTAATAGTTATTTCTTTAATAAAAATTTATTTTGTTTAAAATTTATAAATTTAAAATTATATTAATATTTCTTCATATTCAAATATTATAATAATTTTTAATAATTATGTTGTAATCTCAATTTTAAGGCTTGTTATTTATTGCTTATAATGCAATAATTATCAATTAATTAATAGTATAGATCTCATATAAATCTCAATAATTTTGATTTTAATTATTAAAAATAACAAATTCATCCATCCAATTTTAAATAAATGTATTGTGCATAAAATACAACATTGTTAAAATTGTATTATGATATTTATTTTAATATCAGTGACATATATTTAGCTATCATGAATTTGTGATGTAGCCTATTATAAGTTGAGAATATATGAAATTTTGTAAAAGTTTGTTAGAACGTATCTATTAATGATATTTATAATAATAATAATGATAATCATGTTTCTTGTATTCTAATTGATTATAATCAAATTGATTACCATTTTATATGATACTTAAATAATTACATACATAAGAAGGAACTACATTTCTTGTTAATTCTAGTGCAAATAATTAATGCACCAATGTTAAATTAATTATTAACTCCAGATTAATATAAATTCATATTTATGAAGCTTATTAAGTGAGATTCATTCACTAGTAAAAGCAAAATGAAGATTATTAATAACTCTACTGGAGTATTCTAGTGGCCTTAGAAAATCTTATTTTATTTTATATATATATTGTGAAAAATTGAACTTCAAAGTTCTCTATCATGTTATAAAATTTGGTGCTACATAGTAATTAATCATACATTTCGCCGGATATACTTTTGTACAGATCATTATTTGATTTATAGAAATTAAATTTTACAGGACAGAAAAAATGTTCTTTTTTAAATAAAATCAATAAATTTAAATAAGAAATTCTTGTTTATTTTTTTTTTTTTAAATGAGCTGTACACAAGTGCATACGGTATTTATAAATTTAATGATATATTTATCTCTACAAATTCATATATATATAACTGATTTGTTACGCGCGTCTATTGAATTATAAAAAACAAATTGTGTCCATAAATAAATTGTATAATAAAAGAAAAGGATATTATTAATGAAAAAATATTTTTTCTTTCTTTTTTCTTTGTAAAAAAAAAATAATGTTGTAAACAATATTTCATAAAATTTTAATTAATAACAACATATTTACAAAAATATTATTCATATATTTAAAAAATAAATACACAGTAAATATTTTACATCTATTACAAGCTAATTATATTCTATATAAATATTTATATACAACTATGTTATTATAAATGATTTTATAAATATTTAATTGCAATAATAATTTTTTTATCATTAATAATAATGTTACTTTTTTCTTTTTTTTTTTTTTCTTTTTCAAAGGCTCAGTTCTATCCATTATAATATTATTATCCATTATTTTGTCTGGAATTATTTGATTTTTATTTTTAATATTTTTTTCAGTTGATTCTTCAGTATTAAAATGAACAGCTCTTAAACTTTCTGTTAACTTATCCAATTTAATTTTTACTTTTCTACGTAATTTTGCTTGTTTCTTCTTTGCTATTCTAATATTTAAATGTTTCACTTTTTTTCTAAAATATGTATCTGAGAAATCTGAAAAGGAGTTATCAATATTCATTGATGAATTTGTGGTTTCATGTTTTAAAGGTACTTCATTACAAGAAAGTTCTGCTTGAAATTTACATTCTAAAGATTTAATATCTTCATTTTTAATTAACTGCAAATCTGAATCAATTTTATGTGATCTTTTAAATTTTTTTGCTTGAGAACCATTCAATTCATCATCTTCCCATGTATTAGTAATGTTACATTGAATATCTTGATTTTTTTTCTTTAATTTCTTATCTTTTTTCTTTTTTTTTTATGATTATTTACTTGTTTTTGAACATTTTTTTTATTTATTTCATCCCTTGAGTTTTGTTCCATAAAAATTGAAGAATATTTTTGACAATTATCTATTTCTTCAGATTCATTATCTTTAACACCATAAGATATTAAAATTTTTACTTTTTTCTTTTTCTTTCTTCTACTTTTTTCTTTTTTTTCCTGTTTTTGATTCATCTTTTATTATAGCATGTATATTTTTTTCATCATTATCACTTACATTACATAAAATATTTAACTGATGACTCAAATCATTTATACGTCTTCTATTCTTTCTTTCAGTAGTTTTACATTTTTTAGGAACTAATATAGTTTCGGATGTTATTGGTAATATTATATTTTCATCATTAATCTTTTCATATTCATTATTTTGAAATATATTATTACTGCTTTGTAATTTTGTTGATATATTCATATATGAATTTGAGTTTAATAAATATTTATCTTGTTGAGCTATTCTTTTCAATTTTCCATTTAATGTTAATCCATGTCTAGCCCCTTTATGAACAGTTCTACCATTACATATTTTAAATAATTCTTCATCTGTTAAAGAAGCATGATTAATATTTTCTTCAATATTTTGTTTTTCATATATATTAGAATTGTTTTCTATTAAATTGCCATTAAATAACGTAGAAGTTTTAAGAAAATTTTCATATTTAAATTCTTTTTTATTAATATCTTCTTTAAGAAAATTATCAGTTGTATTTTCTTTTGCAACAAATATAGAAACTCCATGTGTTTGTGATTGAACCGTGATACTACTAGCTGCTTTATTAAAAGCATTCTCCCACCAATTATTATAATCTTCATTTTTATGTCCTATTCCTGTTGTATTAAATTTTAATTTTGGTTTTAAAGCTTCTGTAATGCCGTTTTCATGTTTTCCTAAACCTTTACCTATATCAATAAAAGGTAAAATATAAAATCTTTTGTAAATATAAGATTGTTTTAATTTAATTATATAAACATATATATATATCTTTTAGATTATATAAATTTATTAAATACATTAATTTAATAATAAATATTGAAATATAATATATTCTAAGAATATAATATAAATAAATCAAGTTATAAATAATTTTATTATATAACGATATTATTTCTAAAAGCATACCTTCCTTCCATCCATACTTCATAAGCTGAGACTTTGCAAAATCATTCATATTTAAATTTTTGTTATTATAATTGTATATAAAAAAAAATTTAATTTAGCAATCTATAACTACATCACAATTTATGAACAATACACGTTTTCGTTAACTATAAGTATATAACATTACTAGTAATAAAAACTATATTATTTTTTATACATTATACACATTGAAATTTTCGTAATACTCGTATGGTGGCGTTATAATAGAATAATGCGCTAACATATGATTCAGAATTTTGTCCAATTTTAATGTTTAAAATTGTCTTTTTTTAATATATTTCATCTCCTTATCTTAGAATACACTGTTTATTACTAATTTGAAATTTTTTTGTCTATCTTAAAAAAATCTTTTTATGTTCTATATATATATATATATAGAATATATATACATATTATATATATTTTGTCAATGAAAAAGCTGTAAATATATAAATACGTTAAATATAAAATGATTATTATTTTTAAAAAATGTAATCAATTATATAATATTATATATACATATATATATTTAATGTACAAAGTTTTTATTTAATACTATAATAAAGTATATCGAAAATATATATTATTAATGTGTATATATACATACATACGTTATAGTTATTATAAAAAGGATGTTCAAACCTTCAGAAAATTTAGCTACTTATCTATGATTTGACGTTCATCAGCCAACGATAAAAAATAGTTTTATAATATGTATTTTGCCCTAACATTAAATTTTTTATATTCGCTATGATAATTTTGCGTGTCCCACCATTATACAGCGAAATTTATTCGAAGCAAAGTACTGATATTATTCGATGGCAAGGAAATAAACAGTTTTAAACTGTGCACTTGATGAAACACATTTAATATTAACAGTGTAATCAGAATATTTAAATATATTAAGAAAAGGACAAGGTTTGTGAACTTTATACTTTTATGAATATTTGTCATATTTTACGAAATTTAATGTCATTTTTTTTTATCCAATATCATTGAAATAAAATATTGTAAAATAAAATTACGTAAAATAAAATTTTTATATAAACATTTTAATTATTTTATATTTAATTATTATATATTTATTTATTTTTAACATTTAATATTTATATATAAAAAAAATGGAATTAAAATGAACATCTTATATTAATCAGTTAATTAAAATTAATTAAACTATGATAATTTTTTCCGTTATATTATAAATTTTCATCTTTTTAAATACAATTTGTATTATTATTATTCACATTTTTTTATTATACACATTTTTACATTATTATATATTATTTTAGATACATATTGACATTAAAAAAACAATGGCATTACGTGAATTAGTAGAAGGTGACTGTGGAGGACCTAGTTCTTTAATTCATTTGACATCACATTTTGTACGTGATCATGGATTCAAAGATGAAGGAATACATCATCCTTTTGAACATGTGGAACCTTTTCAAGCTTCAGATTCAGATCAGTTAGTTAAACAATTTTTAGAAGAAAATCCTTCATGTCCTCAAACATTTAGAATGGATAATTTATTACAAGAAATGCGTGAAATTGATCAAAATATTCATCCACCTATAGCAGCACCTGGAGTTGCTCAAGAATTAACCAGTTTAGATACAGCTTGGGCAAATCAATATCTTGAATCAGGACGTCATTTTAATGTAATTCTTACTTCATTGGTATAATTTATATGTTAGCAGTTTTTTTTTATAAATTAAATTTTTATTGTTTTCATTTAATATAGGAACACCATGCTGATGATATTTGGCATCCTGAAGAAGAAAATAATTCAAATATTTTAAATAATCAAAAACATGAATTTGGATTAGGACCAAAATGGGCTGAAGAATATATAGAACATAGTATAGATGCTATACAAAGCAATATAAATATAGAAAATCCAATAGAAATAATAGAAAATAATGATAATCCTAATTTTGAATATTCAAAATTTATGAAATTTATGAAACAAGAAGGAGAAATCTCTATTGAAAACAATCAAGATTCACTGCCAAATGATACAAGTAAAAAATGGATTGAACAATATAAAAAAGATAATGAAAAATCTGAAGATACAATTTCTTCTGTCAATCAAGAAAATGAAATGATAAATAAGGTAGAAGAAGAATTAGCTGTTGCTGGTAACTGGATAGATGAATTTCAAAAAGAAAATGTCTCTACAGGTCTGTAGACATTTTAATATTAACTTGATATCTGCCAATTCCTAGTTATGCTAATAATATCAATATTAATAATCATTTTTATAAAAAATAATTTTATTTTAGTGATAGAAAATTATGAATCTACATTTTTGAAACTTCAAAATGAATGGGAAAAAATTTCATCTGAGGAATTATCTTCCAAACATCCTTGGCTTTCAGAATATGATAAGTTTTATGATCCATTTAAAGATTATGAATTTCATGAAGAAAATCCTATGAAAAATTTACCTAATGCATTAAAAGAAGGTAAAAAAAGATTGGAAGCTGGAGATTTACCAAGTGCCATACTTTGTTTTGAAGCAGCAGTGCAACAAGATGAAAATAATTCAGAAGCTTGGTTACTTCTTGGTAAAACCCTAGCTGAAAATGAACAAGATCCATTAGCTATTTCTGCTTTAAAACGTTGTTTACATTTGGATCCTTCAAATGGCCCTGCTCTTATGGCACTTGCAGTTTCATATACAAATGAATCTTATCAAAATCAAGCATGTATAACTCTTAAAGAATGGTTATTGAAAAATGAAAAATACAAGCACCTTTCAATACAAAAGATTAATAATGAGCAAAACATAAAATCTAATGTATCATCTATTTTGTTTGAGTAAGTAATAAATTTAATAATGTATGTAATAAAATATAAATATTTTAGTAATTTTAATATTCTACTTATTTTTTCTAGAGATGTACATGAAGAAGTTAAAAATCTTTATATTCAAGCAGCACGAATGAATCCATGGAATGAAATAGATGCAGATGTACAATGTGGATTAGGAGTACTTTTTAATTTATCTAATGAATATGATAAAGCTAGCGATTGTTTTCAAGCGGCGTTGCAAGTGCGTCCTCATGTATGTAATCAATTTTTCTTATGATAGAAATTAATAATTAAGTATGTATTAATAATTATCAAAAGTATAATATATTTTTGAAAGGATTCTAGATTATGGAATAGATTAGGTGCAACTTTAGCTAATGGTCAAAAATCAGAAGAAGCTGTAACTGCATATCATCATGCTTTAAAATTATCACCTGGATTCATTAGAGCTCGTTATAATCTTGGAATTTCTTGCATTAATCTTGGTGCATTTAAGTAAGTAAAATTTTGTTATATAATATTATGAAATTATATATTTTGAAATTATTTATTTCTTTATAGAGAAGCAGGTGAACATCTTATAATTGCTTTAAACCAACAAGCTGCCGGTCGTGGCATTCAAGGCGAAAATTTTCCGCCGAAAACAATGTCGAATATTATTTGGTCAACATTAAGACTTGTTATTTCATTAATGCACAAATATCATTTAAATGAAGCTATAGAAAACAGGTAAGACTTAATATATATTTTTTAATAAAAATTACTAAATTTTGTTATATAAATAGTATTTTTGATTGTTTCAGAGATCTAACAAGGTTAAATAAAGAATTTGAAATTGTATAAAAATTTGTTGAACTCGTTAAAAGTATAAATCATTTTTAACTTAGTATTTAAGATATAAAATAAAATGATTAAAAATATTTTTCGTAGTTCAAAAATGTATATATAAACAAAAATTAAGATTATTAATGCTATTATATAATTTCTTTGTTATAATATGGGATTGACTTAAATATATTAAAAAAATTGTTTTGAAGAACATTATTTAATAAATATCAAAACATTATTTTGTCATATATCTTTTTTAATAGATAAATAACTTTTTAATATTTTATTTTATATGAATTAAAAGAGATTATATATATTAATATAATAAAATTATTATACAATTAATAAATAAAAATTAAAAATAATAAAATAATTCTCAAGAAAAATATTAAATGAATAAAAATTAATAATAATTCTGGAGATCAAATCATTTTTTTCTTTCTTCTTAAGTAAATAAATATTTATAAAAATACAGTTACAATAATTTAAAAATTAAAGAAAAAATCTGTTATGAGTTAAAGGTATATATTATTTTTCTATTATAATTTATAAATATCATAGATCACTTCTAACATAATTACATTAGATTTACATATATATAACAAAGAGAAATTAGTCCTAAAGGCACATCAAAGTTACATATTTTGTAACATTTAAAAAGTGATGAAAATACATTATAGGATCAACAAATATAATAAAAAGTATCTTAGTAATATTTAATTTCTTAAACACATGCCACCCCGCCCTTAGCGGTTAAAATATAAACAATTTTTAACAAATTCTTATAAATATTCAAACAGTAGTCAAAAATACAATGATCACTACTACAAAATTTCTTACTTCAATATATAAAGCAATCTATCATATTAAATATTATATATAACACTGTAAAATTTTAATATCTATATGCTTGATTTTGTATAAACTTTTCATAATTATGATTCAACTATTTTATTAGCTAAGGGAAAGATAACATACGTCCAGACATAATACAATATATCTATATAGAACATTTCAACAATTAATAATAATGAATTAGTTTTATATTACTATAGTATTTGTCTTTTTGATAATTTGTTAATAACTTTATCCATGAAAAATCTTGCATAATTAAAATTGTAAAAAAAATCGAATATTTTAAGTAATTGGATTAAGAGAAATATTTTCAAATATGTTATATAAATGATAGAAATATATTATAAAGTAAATTATGTATCTAACAATGATATGTAAAATTATGATATAATGAATGAAAAGATACATATGTAAATAAAAAAGCGAATCGTTAATGATGAAAAAGTGATCAAAAATAAAAAAATTATTAAAATTATTTCTAAAAGTCAGATAATTTTAAGCAAAAATTTGTAATCCATGAAAGTTATCACATGAAAAACTATTGTTTTCAAATTCGATTAAGTACAATTCATTTCGAATCTATTTTTTCTATATATAATTTTTATACAACAATTTTTTTGTTGTATTTAAATTTTTTTTTTTTTTTTATAATAAGTTAAATTGGACCTATCGTCGTCGAAATTGATTAGTTAAAACTATCGCTCATAATTTTAATGTCGATAAAAGTTGTTGTCCAGTTTCCATTATTAGCGATTTAACATGTTCGGCGTGCATAATTTGATTGCACATTTCATTGCATTTTTGAAATGTTATTATATCATCTTTTGGAAGAACACGATGTAGACTTTTTAAAGATAATGTATGTGGTAGATAATTTAAAATTGCTAAAATGAGGAATCTATTATAATATAACTAATATAAAATATATATTTTATAATATATACTTTAGTATAAATATATCAAAAATATTTACCTTTCATAATTTGCGTATATAAACATTGCAATTCTTGTCGAGTATTTGTTGTAGAAATTTTATTTTGTGTTAGTTCAATTAAATACTTCCATTCAGAATCTTTAGTATACATATCCTAAAAATTGAAACACAATCTTGTGAAATTCTATTTTAAAAAAAATAAAAAACATAGTAAAAACAGTAAAAACAGTACATTGTATCATTCATTTGCTGAAACAATAATATAATAAAATTTTAAGAAATACAATAATCAATAATTTCAATTCTTAAAAAAATATATAATATTTTTATATTAAAATTTTAATTTAAAAATATATATATTTATAAAACTCTATAAGTAAAAGATATAAATATTAAAAATAATTTAGTCTATATCAATTATAAAACATTGCAAATTTTAAGATATATTGCAAATGAATAATATACATATGAAAAATATATTTATATATATTTATACCTTTGCATATTGTACAACTGCTTGAGGACAATTTTCCATTAGAAGTATTGTTGTTTCTTCGGTATTTTGAATACATAACGTTTTTAAAGATAAACTGCCATGAATTTCTTGTGTTTCAAGAAATTGTTTAACTTCATACAAACATTCATTTGGTATAAAATCGCAAGATAATACAGATTGTAATTTAAACAATTCTGTTGGTATAGTTTTTTCAGAATCAGTCTTATCAATATCAACTAAATCTTGTAAATCGCACATATTCAAAACTTTTTGATAATCTTTCGCATATGGCGGCATCCCGTTTAAATAATGAGGTCTAAATTTGATAAATATGAAGTTATTATAATTTTCTTGCATATTTTCTTTATTTTCTATTTTATATATTTTGGTTTGAGTTAATTTGCCTAAGTATGATCGTACTAATAACTTAAATGCTTCAACAAGAGCGAAATCTGTGCGTATTTGATTTTTATTTATAACAGATGAGTCTATAATCAATTTTGTACTGATGTAATTATGAAGATATTTTTCAAGAAAAATTTGTAATGTCATTGCTGCATTATGTCCATCCCGTCCTACTCTTGACGGCAAATATTCTAAAAATACCTGTATAATCTGATGAAGAGATAAAATTCCATCATCTTCTATTAATTGTATTAAAATTTCGGCAAAAGTTAAATTTTTTTGACGCATTAACATTCCAGCAAAATCTGAAAACGTCGGAATCATTGGACTTCTTTTTTTCATTGCTGTCATATCAAACAAAAGATCCCAATGTTCTAAAATTATTCGTTTAATATATAATGCCGAAACTGGCTCAATTATTTTTTCTGCTTGTTCTTGTTTTTCAGCTTGTATATATAAGAGGGCTAAAGCTAATTTAACTAACTCATCTGTTTCGTATAATAATAAAAGATGGATTAATTTTTCGGTGGTATATTCTCGCAATACAGGACTACTGAAAATCAATTTCAGTAAATCCGATTTTTTCAATTTACATATCATTTCTACAATATTAAATCCTTGAAACAACGCATCAGCTTCTGAACCACTTTTCATTGTGAGAAGAATATCTGTTAAAAAAGTAACGAGTCCCGGAGCATCTTGACTTGATTTTCTAGATAAGACTTCTGAGGGTTTTAATCCTGACATTTTGTAATAAGGTATACAAAAATCCCAATCTAATTCATATTCGGAACGAATATAATAATCTCCAAGTAACGCGCAAGATTGATTATATAAATTTTTCAATTTCAATCCATTTTTATTAGCAATATCGTCAAATTCATTAATATCTAAGCAATTATACACAGCATCTTTAGCTAAACGTATCAAAGCATGAGCCTCCCCTAATAAATGTCGGTATGTACTAGGACTGGAAGATTTATGACTTCTTGCTGCATTTAAAATATCATAATATAATTTTCCAATTTAGGTAAAATTAAAGAATATAAAGTCCAAGAATTTTCAGCTTTGGCTAAGAGAATTAGATAATTTTTGCTATATAATAGTTTTTGTATTCCTAAAAATGGTCTTAATCCAATTAAACAAACTGGCTCAGAGACATTAGGACATGTTATTCTTAAATTCTCTAAATTATTTGATGTTCTTGCAACATGATGAGATAAACGTAATGTGTAAGATTCAAGACCAGCTTCAGTCAATGCATGCAAAGCAGTATGTTCCAATGCTACTTGATTAACAGGTGCAGTAAATGGATAAGTAGTTAAACAAGTTACATCTGTAGGATTTGAACTAGTAGCAGAAAAGTGATAAAGATATCCTTCTTGCAAAGTGCTTAAAAAGCAACTAACACCTTGCAAATATGTATATTTATCTGATCTAAGAATTGATTTTTTCAAATAAGAATTATTACACTCCTTTCTCATGTATAATGGTTTTAGTAAAGAGCAATTGAATACTTCAGAACTTCCATCAAGTTTATTATTAGCTGCTATTATTTTAAGAGATAACAAATTTTTTATTGTATAATTTTCTGACCATCCTAAATCAGGAGAATTTGTTTTAATTATAATTCTTATATCTGATGGATTTAATACAAAAGGACTTAAAGTATGTCCAGGTCCTGCTCTTTCTAAACTTATAGATGGCAAATTAATAGTCAAGGGTTGTGAATTCCCATCAACAATTTCTTGATCAATTAATCTTTGTAATTCATCTCTTTCATTATACATTAAGTGATCCAAATTTATAATATTATCATTATTATTAGATTTTATTTTTCTGAAATCTCCTGTTTCTAATTTGTTCCATATATTTATTTTAGAACTTTTGTGCCTCTTACTTTTAAATTTTGTGCTTATTCCACTAGAATCATTGTTTTCTGATAAAATGAAATAAGGTTCTTGATTAGAACTCTTACATTTTGAATTTGCTCCTTGCAGTATTATGTTATCATCTTGATTATTCATATTATTGCTATTTTCTGCAAGAGAGGAATCTGTGGATATAGATGTTTTATCAATAGATGAAGAATTTGTAGAAGTTAGAGAACTCAATTGATCAATATCCTCATACATTGAATTAGTCAATCGAAAAACACATAAATTTATCTTATCCATGATTAATATGAAATCTTCAATAATTTCCATATGTGTAGGAGAAAATGAAAATCCCAAAGACCATGGTCTTGCCTCAAAATCTATAAACTTCATCTTTGATACTTGTTGTGTTTCAATTTTGAATTCATGCAGAATAGCACTATTTCCTGAAGCTACTAGAAGATTACCAGTACTTTGACAACAAGCAATTAATGTAGGCTGTACACTTAAAGGTAATTCTATCATTTCTAAACTATTCAATGGTCGATTTAGACTTGGTGTAACACGTCCTGCTATTCTAGCACGCATAGGTTGACTTTGATCTTTTACCATAGCCCAATTAACATAAATTCTAACAAAATTATTAATTGCTTTCCCTGTATGATTATTAATGCTTGCATCTCTAGATAATTTTGATTCCAATGTTACAACATAATCTTCTTTGGTACAATGTATCATTTGATTAATCATATCAACTGTTGGAAAAACAGTATGTAGTTTAATATCAGACATCATCAAATCCCAAACTTCAATGCAATGAGTTGATAATGCTAAGAGAAGCATTTCACGTCCAGATGCATTTGCTATACAGCTTGCAGTTGGTTCCTCAATTTGAGTGATATTTTGCCCCAAAAAATTATGTACTGTGATTACACGAACCATATTGATTTTTGTATTAAGAGTTCTTTAAACATATCAAATTTATGTTTTTAAAAGAAAATTCTGAATATTTAGCTAAAAGTATCTTTTACACTCATTTATACAATAAATTGAATATAAGTCTAAATTAATAATTTAATATTATTTTAAATTTAAATTTGATATAAGTATTATATTTTTTTATATTATTACATTGTGAAATTAAATAATATTTAGAAGTTTATATAATTATATTTTTTGAAGATTGACTTGCATTTTTAAATTATCATAAAAATTATTTGTAAAATGTATAAAACGATAAATTCGTTATTTTTTTTCGAAATTTTTTAGTATTTTTAAATATAACAAAATATAAAATTAAGTAAATAAGAGAATATAAATCAAATATTGTTTTTTGTTATTTAGTATTTACTTAGATTACACAAATATAAATATTAATGCATTTAACGCATGTTTTGACATTATTTTATAAATTTATCTTTTATAAATTTAACATCTTTATTATATAGCAAATAATATTGAAAATGATTAATTATATTGAAATATAAGAAAATCACTTTAACTAGTTATTTATTTTATTTTAAAGTTAAAGAACATTATCATATTTTGCACATGATTTTACATAATTTAAAAACACTATGAATATCACAAAATAGAAGAATGCAAATACAGTTCGTCCTTTTGACAGATCTTTTAATACGCGCATGTACATTAATGGTTAGAATATACCTAGGCGTGCTACTTACGCGCCCTACTAATTTTTCTCTGTTAATATAATACATAATACTTCAAGTAATATTTAAAATAATTATGAAATAAAAAATTCCAAAAAACAACAAAATACTTTAAAAAATAATTAATGAAATATAAAAATAAATAATATATTTAGAATATATAATACATATTAATAATCTATTAATAATCATTTAATGTATATCACTTATAATTCTATAACAAATTAGATATTAAAATTATGTATAATTCATTTTATAATCTTTATTATGTCAAAAATTATACATGCAATTATATTGATCTTAATTATATTGTACAAAAGTTTCAAAATGTTAATTCTCTTATTTCATAATCTTATATTAATATGCTACAAAAATGTTATTGTCATAAGATATAAAATATTGTAAAAATATATATTAAATGAACATATAATTCAATTAACTTCAATTATGTATTACTTGTAATAAAATTATGGCAATGTTCAGGAAATTTTTGATCCTAAATTGATTTCATTGGCACAACGCATATAATAGTAAAATGTGAAATACATCCTACAAAATTTTATTTTATTATTATAATTATAATTATTTTGTTGAAATAACCTTCTCAATATGACTTTTTAAAGTTTCTAATTGTTTCAAAGTTTCTGAATCTAATGCAGGAATATGTGACATACGTAATCCATCATTAGGTAATAAGGACATAACATTCCCATCACGCAAGGGTACATTAATGTTAGCAATATCTTCTTGAATAATTGCAGAAACTAATAAAGGACTACCTTGCATACTAAGAACCATTTCCCCTTGTCTTGGACGTCTTAATACATTTAATGGTGTATTAGGTTTTATTTTTGGAGTTACAAGATCAAATTCTTTATTTCCTGGTTTCAAAGTAGCAGGGGTTTTAAATTTATCAACTTTCATAGATTTGATATGTTTATCTTTTGTTGTTTTTTTTATAGTTTCTTGATTTATTTCACTAAGCTTCATTTTACTATTCCTTGAAGTACTACGTGTCCTTCTATTAATAGCAGATTCAACTTTAGTAGCTCTTGATGTACGTGTTGTTGTTATTCCTTCGGTTACATATCCATCATCGGATGCGCTAGTAATTCTTTTTCCAGTTTTTTTTCCTTTTACTGTCATCGGAGGTACTCGTAGCGAACGGTCATCAACGGATGACGAAATTTCATTACAATTTTCTTTTTCATTTTCATTATTGTAATTAAGTATTTCACTAAGTGTCATTTGCCGTATCTCAGCCGGAAGTCGAGATAAAGTAACGTCAACAAAAGTTTCAATACTTTTTACTGCCATTTTTGATTCTGCTTCCATTTTCGAAATTCGTAAATGTGCTTGTCGCTCAAAATCTTTAATTAATAAATCACTTTCTTCTAAAAATTCTTCTTGTTGTTTTGGTTTCTGAACATGTTTTGTACGCGGCATTTTTAATAGCCGTAGAATCTAAAAATATAATTAAATTTCTTGTTTGCTTTTTATCACGTCTCTTTATTGTCGTTTAAATAAAATTTGTGGATGTAATTATCACAAATTTTTTATTTAGTTGACTTACATTGAAATGTTTTCGATTTCGTTTACCGCCGTTAATAGTTTATAATTCGATCAATGATTATAAAGAAATATAGAAAGATAAAATAATGGAAGAATACGTGAACCTTATAAAAAGAGCAATCTAGTGTCATTATACTGCATTAAATTTAAGTGTTCAAAAATATATTTAAATCAATGTAATTAATTTGATTTAAATTACGTGACATTACAAAATTTTAGATTACTCGTTATAATTTTTTATATTATCTTTTTTATTTCATTCTTACAATTATTGAATTATAATATAAAATATATTTTAGTAAAATTATATTATTTTATATTGAAATATATTCATAAAATGATATAATTTTTATTATATATATAACAATAATTATTGGATAAGTGACTATCTATATTCTTATTCTGTCTATATTTTGTCCATATTTAGAAAAATTATGGAAATAGGAATTTTAGATGAAAAATAAAAATTTTAATTATAATATTTAGAATTGACAATTAATTTTAAGTAAACTTTTTATATATATTCTCAATATTAATATTGAAGTAATTTCTTCGACATTTGACAAATCTTTATCTTTCAAATATTAAAATGGAGAGTATTATTCGTTATGAAAAACCATATTCTGATTATAAACGAACTGAACAACAAGAAATGTTAATAGCAGCTCCATTGGATTTATCATTTAAAAGAGCAACCACAATGAATGGTATGTTACATTATATAAAATTTTTATAATTAAAAAATATTGTTAAAATTATACATTATTTTCTAAATTTAAAGATAACATTAATAAAAATATTATTTTATTACAAGAGAATTGGCAAATAAACGTCCACAATCAGTACGAACGGGTAAAATTCCATTGCGAACATCTGCAGATCGTTTCGTAACATGTTCTTTATGGTTAAGCAATAATTTATTGACTTCAATGGACGGATTTGAAACTCTTGTACAAAAAGTTCTCGATGATCCAGAGCATCTTAGTTGGATCGATCTTTCTTTTAATAAGATAAAAGAAATTGGAGATGATATTGTAAAATTTCCGAATATAAAAATATTTTATTTGCATGGAAACAATATTTCGAATATTAATGATATTGTTAAATTGAAAAAGTTACAAACTCTTAGATCTTTAACGTTACATGGAAATCCCATTGAAAACCTTCCATATTATAGAGGATATGTTGTTCATACTTTACCACAATTAACAGCATTAGACTTTTCAGCAGTATTATCTACTGAGAGGAAAAAGGCAGCACCTGCTGGATTTTATAAAATAATATATGGTAATACATGAATATAAAATTTTATTTTCAAGTTTTGTATTAAATACACGCTTTCTTTTAAGTATCATTACTTGTAATATTTTTTCAAGAATGTACCATTTATTTTGAGGTACTTTGACTCAACATTCTTAGAAATAATTTATTTCAAATCTACTGTTATATCATTGTTAAATTAACTCAAGATATGTACCATACAGTAGAAATTATTTGTTCTATTTAAATGTATATTAATTAACAGAGATAAAAAAGGCCCCATATTATATTACAAATTGAATGTGACAGCCCATGTGTTCGCAGTAATTTTTCTTTTTTGCAATATCTATATGTATAATGATTTTTTGTACATTAAATAATTCAATGTCGTCTGTGTTTACTGCGATGTTTACTTGATTTTTCTACATCTCTATCTCGAGATCGACTACGTGATCTATAACGACTACGAGATGATTTGTGGCTGCCGGATCGTCTTCGTTGCGCTTTTTTCGGTTTTCGAGATCGTCCATGACTATGACTGCGAGATCTGCTTCTACTATGTTTTTTTCTCTTGGAATGCTTTGTTCCTTCACCTCTAGATGGTGAAGTACTTGGTGATTTCGAACGCCTATATAGTAATAAAAATGATTTTAGATAAAAATTATATTTTATTATTTCTTTTTTTCTCTTATAATATACCTAGGTGACTTTGTTCTTTCGGGTGCAGCATGAGTACCGCTACGACTAATGAATCCACCCCAAGCATTATGATGTTTGGGCAGTGGTGGGCTAGGTGTATGGCTATCGACATCTCCACTTCTTGCTTTGGTTCTTGCTTCCTGATATTGTCGACGAAGTTCCTCTACGCGTTTTTCTAATTGTTCTGGTTTAACACGAGGTCGAAAATAAAGTCGTAATATACGACGACAAACATCTCTAATTGCAGATTCATTAACTTTAAAAAGAGAAAACCAAGCAGGTGAAGTAGGTAAAGGTAATTGAAGTTGTCTTGCTCCTAAATATACACATGCACAAGCAACAGTTTCTGGTTGATATCTTAAGAATACATCAGATCTTAAGGAATCATTCATATAATTCCAACATTGTTGCATCAAAGCATGATTTTTTTCATAGCCCAATACTTGCAAATACATAACAATTATTTTATGAGGATGTTTTACATGAACACAAAAACCTAATTCTTTTAGGACTCTCCTTTCAGATTTAATTACTTGATTCTTTAGGGCTACATAATTTTGATCAAGTATTACTGGTTGTATTGGCCTAAAAGAAAGATTTAACAATAAATGTTTTATATATATAATTCTATAATATTAAAAATAAAACATTATATTTACTTTTGGCTAGAAACTTGTTTAATATGATTAAACACATTAATAACATCCCTAATACGTCTAGGTGCTTCTTCAATTTTACTAGCTAAACAGATACAGCCCATTGCAGTTGTTTCCATATTATGCCTAACTAACGATTTACTATAATAAAATCGTTGAAATATAACTTGTCCTGTGGCCATTGCAACCTAAAGAAATAATAATGGAAATAAAATTAATTCAGAGGTTATAGAGGTTATAACGTTTACAAACATTTTGTTTACTTGTGAAAAAAATTACAAACCTGTGGTAATTTCAATAAAATACCAGCTGTCTGAATTAATTCACATCCTAATATTCTTAGATCAGTTTCGGTTTCTGCGTCTAATCCATCTAAATGCGACGGCGTCGAGTTGAGTTTTTCTTCAGGTAAAAGACAATTTTGAAGTGTTAGCACGATTTTTCCATAAGGTTTCGTATTGCCTGTTGTTGTATTTTTTGCCGGAGCCGTAGAATTTTCTTTTGTATTACTCATTATAAGTTTCACTGTTGAAACACAGTAAAAACTTTTTCTTCAATCACTTAGTAAAAAATAGGTTAACCTTTCATTTCCTCGAATGAACCATACCTTCCCGAAGTATAACTTTAAACTTTACTACTTATATATATATAAAGAAGTATAGTTCGCATAGAACTCGTTTCTTCCGTATGGCGCTACTGTCTACTTTTGATAATCAATTGTTTTATTCGATTTTTATCATTATTGTCAGTAAAATAAAAAAGAATAAATATTTATATTAAAAAGATTTCTTTTGAATTATTTTCAATATAATAAATTTGTTTAAAAAATTTTATATATACATTCAAACATTAAAAAATAATTATTCGTTTGTATAATTTTTGAGTACTTCCGGTAACTTATTAATAGTTTGTGGAACACAATTGGGCGCGAATCATAATTGCTTCGAAAAGTTTGAAATATCAAGTGCAGTGTTAAAATAAGTGCAGTGTTAGTGGTAAAAGATAAAAAAGAATATTGAAATAAAATTAAAATATCATAATCTTTTCATATTACCTTTCAAAAATATTTTTGATCAATAAATTCAGCAGAACATAACGTAAATATATAACATGATAATCGTTTAAATCGTTAAAAACTTAATCATATAAATTTTTAAGTGTTGTTTGTTCATACTTTTTTGCAGAATATTTAATTTATCAACATAATCCGATATTTAGAAGCAACAACATAGCAAACTGGTGAGTTTTTTTATATTTTTTAACGATATTTTTCTAAAAATTTCATCTAAAAATTTTATTTGAGTTTAATCGACAAATTATGCTATTATAAGATACTTGAATATTTCAAATTGTAAAAATTTTTAGCCTTCGGCATAGGATAATGAAAAAACTATAACGATATTTTGTTAATTATATAATGATATATCTTTTTGTTATTACATGTAATTTTTTGTCGTTTAAAAATCAACATGCATACAATTGCATTTTAAAACTTTAATAGTGTCAAATTCACACGAATTTTCAATTAATTAAAATTGAATCTTTTGAATCGAACTTACAAAATAATAGGATTTTGCACGCAATTTTGTAAGGATAACATATTAGTGCAATTATAAATATATACACACGTATATCAAGAAATATATATAATATAATACAGTCGCATAACATAACAATTATTTATACAACGTATACAAAATAGTAACTTATAATGAAACATAACGCAAAGTAAATAAAGAAATAACAATAGGATAGATATCATTTATATGTTATACACATAATTATATTTTTTGTTTCTTCGAGTTCTTTTTTTAATTTCGGTCCCTATTTTTCTTATTACATACAAATTTTACAACTGTAAGTGAATGGAAAAACAGATTTCATATCGAGTACCTGATCTTCGTTGTACTAATATAACCTTGCATTTACATAGTTTGTTATGCAGATTGAATTATTGAAATTTAAAAATGCATTTTAATGCGAGGTATTTTGATAAATGTTCTGCTTCGTAAAATTAATATGGACCGAAGTAGGAACAATTTTTATGATTAAAAATAAAATTATTGTACAAATCATATTAATCGTATTTTACAAAATTTTTGTTTATTAATTATTAAAAATCGTATTATATTAATGTATTCATTCGTACAGAAAAGATTTATATCTCGATAAAAATCTTGTTATATCCATAAAGCAACTATACATACATGAAAGTTCTTGAAGTCGAGTGGTCTTAAAAAGTTTGAAAAAATAAAATTTCCAGCATTCGCGCTGTATTATTCCCTGTATTGTGCGATGCATATATATTGCATTTTTCTAAAAGATCTTAAAGCATATTATTGCGTTAATGATTGTTGGTAACATAGCAACTTGTTGAATCGATAATCTGTAACTGATACTTTGTACTAATTTTTGTCAAATTAGTTCGACAAATTGCCACATTATCAACAATTGTTGCCATAAAATTTCCATTCGTCTCATCTTGTCTCGAATTAGATAATGTAAATTCTACGATTTATTGGTATAAGTTAATGCAATGGGATTTGACCATCAAATAGGTCAATCGGAAGAGAGCAAAGTTTTACTACCGGCCGTTTTATGATTGTCGTGGCAGTGCAAATTGCAGTGGAAAGCACTGCGCATTTTATGTTTATATTTGGACATAAAAAAACTATCCGATAGTCTGAATTTTAGCCAGACAATGTGATGTGCATTGATCTCAATGCAAAGATAAAGTTATTTAATTTAAAAAGTGCCAGTTATTGATATTGCTAAAAAGCAATATTTATTATTTTGTATTTCTAAGGTATGTCATTAAAAAGACTAATGCACTTTGCTATCTAGCAAATTTCAAGCAGATAAAGACGTTCTTTTAAAATCTCACATAAACACTTCAAACACTTTCATTTATAAGTTTAAATATCAATCATTTAAAAAGAAAAAAGTTCTCATTGCATATCGATTAACATCTTATTATAGCAATAAACAATAATTTTTTTATGCTTGTTCAATGTAACATGTCGGTAATATATCGACTTGTAGTCAAAATGAGAGGCTTCATGTTCATTTTCAAATAGTGGAATTTGTCTTCAAGATCACTTATTGAATAAAACTTGAAATACATTTCATTGTCTATGCAATTACATATTTTTAGATATGAAGGAAAACACGTGTAATATTTTCATCTTTTTGATTTTGTAACTTAACCTGATTTTCTAATATTTTCGATCAAATCTTTTATATTTTTAAAACAAAATGTATATTACAAAAAATACGTTAAAATTCATCATTTTTCTTCAAATTGATTTCCATACAAGAGAATCACATAAAGCTCGTATTGTCTTGTTATTTAAACTTGCAACATAACTGATAGCATAATTGTAATCACAACGACGAAAGTGAGCATTTCACACTCCCGATGGCCGATTGATGAAATTTGATTTGTGAGACCAGAATGCATTTAATGAACTTGGTTGACGTCAGCGTGATGGCACACCGACATCGGCTGATCGAATTCGAAGAAGATCGGCACGAAGCATCAGCGGCATGCGTATGGCTGACGATTCGGTAGGTCGCCACATTACTGGTGATCGTTCTCGTGATAATGGCGTTGGAATTGGACAATCATTCACACGATGTGGTGCTGGAGTCAAAGAACCTGGAGGTGCACGATAATATTTGTGACCACCAAGTGTTACAATTTGTCCCTGATCTGAAATGTTTGGTATGTCTTTAATTGTTGACTTCGCTTTGAGTTTTGTCACTGGTTGTGGTATTCTTAATGGATGTATGTCCATTTTCTTTCCTCCACTCAGATCTAGAATATCTCTCGATTCTTGATCCCTTTTCCGTTTAGTAGGAAGCGCTTGCCGTTGTTGATCGCGTTCTGGTTGCTTGGTCTGCCTTGGTTTTAATGGTGCAGGCATTCTTATTTGTCCTGCTTTTAAGGCCTTTAGTACTCGTGGATCGACAGATCTATCGTTTAAAGTAATGCTTGGACTTACTTTTCCCAGAGTATTCTTTCGATTATCTTTGGAATCATTTGGTTCAATGGATCCACCGCTATTTCCAGGTGATTTTGGTGCTGTTAGAGTTATACTGAGACTTGCAGGAATGTTTAATCCACAACCATCTAATATATTTCTTGTATCGTTCGAAAGTATTGGACTTGAAGAAGGTTTTGAACTTGGTGTCGTAAGTGTTCGACTAGGTCCAGCTTCTGCAATCATATTTCCGGGTCTTTTCGCTGAAATAACATGTTCTGTTGTTAACTTTCGAGGTGATTTTGCATTATTTTGCATAACAGGAGACGGATGTATATGAGTTTGCTTTTTTGAGATATGAGTTTGAATCTGTTGTTGTTTCTTTCTTCTGATATCAAAGATTGGTAAACCTGGTGGACATTTTCTTTTCACTGCTCCCGCGGGAACTATAGGTGGATCATTAGAAAAAGTGTACACATCCACTTTTGCGGGATTATTATTGATGCTGATGTTCATACCTGGATTTGTACTCTTTGAGTAACCAAACGTGCAAGTATCTATATCATTGCATTGTTTATTTGTGTTCACTCGCGCATTGTTACAAATTCCGCTTATTGGTTTACTTACATTCGAAATATTTCCACTTGCATTTACACTGATATTTTCATTATTACTTTTATTCTTTGAATTATTTATATTATTTGAAGTTTCTGTTGCGTTATCATCTTTTTTCGGAATGACGTTATCTTTGTTTTGTGTATCATTAATCTCGTCCTTCGTATTTAATTCGTTAGAGGAAGATTCTAATTTTATTTCAGACCCCGTTTCTCTAGCTGTTAGTTGAAAACTTTGAAGGAATTGTTTTTTCTCCTGTTGTTCTCCTGGTTTTTTCTGTATACTTTTTAAAGTATTACTATTGGTATTGTTAGCAGTACAAATAGTTTTCTCAGGAGTTAATCGTTCCATGAAAGTTACTCTTCTTCTTTGTTCTTCTTGTTTCTCCATTTGACGTTTCTCTCTGTTTCTCTGTAACTGTTGAATAAGTAACGCCTCAGAACTATCTTTGTCTACTTGGCCACAATGCAACAATACATTACTAATAACTTTCGGCTTGTTTGGACTTGTATTATTTGGTGAACATTGTTTTAAAGTAATCTTCACTCCGTTCGAATTCTGTCCGTTGCCTATACTTACGACACTAAATTCTGGATTCGAAGATTTTGTTTCCATATTTGTAACGCTTTGTTCTTTCGAATTCCAACTTCCTGGCGGACTTCTCAAAACCTCATATCTTCCGTCTGAATTCTTGAGTATCTTGATAGGTGTTTTAATTTGTTTATTTTCATTATTCGATGTGGACGAGACATTATTTGTATTAGTAGTTGTCGTTGCCGATGAAACAACTGTGTTGGTAGTTGTCGTTGTTGACGTAATATTCGTCGATGCTATAGAAACTGTCGTTGATGTCGTGGTTGTCGATGTTACTACACTACTTATAAGTTGATCTTCTTTAATAGTTATTTTATGGTTATCAATAGTCTCATTTGTTGTAGATATTTGTTCACTTGGAGAGCACGATTTTTCATTTGAAGTTTCATTTTGATTGTTCAATATGATTTTTTCATTGGTATCCTTTATAGATTTTGTTTCTGACTTGGATTCTATATCATTCT